CCGGTCTCTATATCCAGATCTCTAACCATTCTCGATCGAATCTCTGATCCCCTCAAGAAAATACCCAGTTCTCCCCCACTTAGGGTTCGAACCATCCCCAATCGGCGCACCAGCAATCTATCACATCGACTGTTTCCACCAGTAATCATCGCACCTACTCTTGGAAGGTGCTACGCAACGCTCGATTATCTCCAAACAAAGATCGCGCAACTCCAAATGCTCTGAAACTCAGATGAAATCCTCAGAACTTCCCACCATGACTGCCTCTAGTCATTCAGAATCTCACACCATTCCATCACCGGACCTCCCAACTGTCCAGTATTAACCCTGACCCTTAGTCTGGAAGTAATGATCTACCGTACTTCTCGTCATCGAATCCTCAACCAACGTTCCATCACGTCACTTATCATAAGAGCAGAAACCATATTTCCACTCTTAATACCCATCAAAGACAATAAGGGCCACCGCCCTGATATACTCCTCTTGATCGTCCGACGCTGCAGCTAACACATGCCCTACTATACTCAATTAGGGTGAATCCTGGTCCTTGACCGTCTCAGTCCCCACTGACGACCTGTTCAAGCTATATCTTTACCTCGCGGCAGACCTACTGCCATATACTCTGGTTGGAGATCACCATCCGTTCAATCCCACAGGGCTCACCCCCAAACTCAAAAACCGAAATCTCATCACCTCTTACGTATCCCACAGGAAACGGAAATAGCACCACTCGGGTCACAGAAAGTGACCTCTCCACTATCGGCCGGTCGCCCAGCCCAGACCGTATTCTCCCATAATGCACTATCCCTACTCATCCCTGAGTCTTGCGACTCCAACTGGCATATCACCCACAATCCCTCGAAGCTCACTCGATTTCCCTTTTCAAGGGACGCTCCACTAAAACTTGTTCATCAAGGCCTTCTGGTCCCATACTCATTCACCTCTGATCTCAGTCTAGACAATCCCCACGGAATAACCGGTAAAAACCAGAAATACTAACCGCTACATGTCATGGTACTCAAACCACGTGGCCACTTCTCGATCTGCTATGAATCATGGTACCTGCACCATGTTATCTCCTCTTAATCTTCTACGAATCATGGTACTCGAACCATGTTCCCTCTTCTCATTCCACCTCACATCATGGCACTCGAACCATGACATCACCTCTCGACCTGCTACAACTCATGGTACTCGAACCATGACGTCACTTCTCAATCCGCTACTTATCATGGTACTCGAACCATCACATCACTTCTAAATCCGCTACTTATCATGGTACTCGAACCATGACATCACTTCTCAATCCGCTACTTATCATGGTACTCGAACCATGACATCACTTCTCAATCCGCTACTTAAAATCCTCCGGATTAGCCTTCCGGATCGCCGCGGTCATCTCGTCATGAATCATACGGTGAATCTCATCATCGTTAACACCACTGCTCTCCGGTGTGTGTGGTGTACCAACCATGATGTCCCTGAAGCACAACACAAAGATACCAGAGACTCGATCGAGTATACTCGCACTCGATCACCCAACCCTACTTGTTCCTTGGTACCCTAAGGATTCTTACTTGGACTGCTCACTGATCCGGTGTTTCCAGTAGTACGGGCCCTATACTACCTTTCACACCGCATCAGTATTCATCCCAAGTCCTCCTCCTAGGATCCCAGATCACAAGTACTCTACACCTCGCTAAGCATAGGCTACCCTTCGGTAGACATCTCATAAGCTCCTCACTGCTGCCTACTTACTCTCGAAGCATCACATAGCAGCAGTAATCTCCTAGGCTAAGGCATCACAAATCAGGCCACTCTAGTCCTAATATGAATACCTAGCCTACTCTAGCATGCATATCATATCATATCATATCTCATAATACATAATGTAAGGGTATTTTGGGAAATCACCGTTCGGGCACCGGCTGATCGTACACAGTGCTCCTTTCTGCTTTTCTCAAAGTCCTTTACTCTTTTAGAAAAATTGTTCCTTTTTATGAAAAACTTTCTAAAATCCTCAGTTTGAGTACAGATACGCCCGAAGGTGCATCCGAATCCCTCAAACCAAGGCTCTGATACCAACTTGTAACAACGTAAATTTCCAAAACAATTTTTCATTTTTAAAACATACTTTTATTCATAAGGTAATATCAAAACATAATGTATCCAATGTTATCATAACAAAACATATCCCAGAATCTCAAAACATAAACTCCATGAGTGTGTACGGATCATGCCGGCGCCTTCCCGCGATCCTCACTAGTACCTGAAACACATAACACAACAACTGTAAGCATAAATGCTTAGCGAGTTCCCCAAAATACCACATACGCACATACGCCACTCAAGGCTATAAGACCTTCCGATCACTGTGTCTCAGAGGACTTCCGTCCCACAACCCTGGTAGACCTTCCGGCGCTACTCGTAATGACCTTCCGGTCCACATCACGATGACCTTCCGGTTCTTATGATTCATAACATACATAACACATACATATCATATAACAACATACAACACATACATCTCATCGCATATAAAACCTTCCGGTCACACATAGGTACCACTCTAGGTACAATATAGTGAGAAGACTCACCTCGTACGAAGTCGGATAAAATCTCGTGCTTGACGTCCCGACCTAGCCTCCTCCTATCATACGAATAACATTCCTGATCAATACCCTCTCATAGCCTCATCTCTAAAGATTGGGTAGAAGGCCATCCTACCCCTCCCTGAACTCTCCTGAATCATCTTGACCAAAACCCTAAGGTCAACTGAAGTAAACGGTCAAACTTTGACCCGACTCGTCGAGTGCACATGGGCGACTCGGCGAGTCCATGCGGGTCCTCAGAATCCTTCTAGCCTCACTTGGCACGTCGAGTCATCCCTTCACTCGACGGGTTACACCTGTCACGAATCGCGGGGCAACCCCGACTCGACTCGTCGAGTCCACTTATGAACTCGGCGAGTAACGTCCATGGCAACACTCAAATGATCTTCTGAGGTCAGATCTGCTTCTCTAACCTATAGATCTTCCCTCCCCATTCACAATAATCACGTAAAGGTCCGACCTTTACACTCATGCAACACACATAGGGCTCTCTTTGGTGAAATCATCTCTAAAAAGGCAACCTAAGATCATTTCTTCCATGGAACAACATAAAGCAGGTTGGATAAGGCTCTTTGGACCTCTAAAGGTCCATATCCAGAGTCTAACACTCAAAGGGATAATATACTAATCATTTCAAGCCAATAAAAGAGTATAGAAAACCCTAAATTCAAGGATCTCATACTAAACAGAAGAAGGGATCGATTTAATACCTCAAAGTTGCAGATCCAAGCTGGAAACCCACAGAATAGCAATCCCCTTGACCTCCTCTTGCTGGAAACACCTTCTTCTTTGCAAAATCACACTAATAAGGATAAAAAAGGCTTTCTCTCTTATACCACTCGTTCAAGCTCTCTAGGGTTTCTCTCTCTGGACTGGTAGCCGCAATTGAGGGCTATAAGGACCCTTAAATAGGGCACAGGCCCAAAGATTTAGGGTTTCTGTCCACAACGCGGACTCGTCGAGTCCACCCATCGACTCGTCGAGTCCCTTCATTAATCCAGTCAGCAAATCGCGATCCTACTCGACGAGTCTAGGCGTCAACTCGTCGAGTCCCTCCTCATAACTCAAAAAGAAATATTCAGATTGTCATGCCTGGAAATCCGGATGTTACAGAGCGGTAGAAGGTAGGTCACATCGCCGAAGTTGCATCTGCGTCGCAAGCCATCATCACCAGAGATTGCTAGGGGAAGGTGTTGCACAAGCAAGGGCGACAATAGTGTTGTAGGTGGTGGTTTCCGAGCACCGATAGAAGAAATGTAGAGGATAGATCGGTTATGTTGCGAGAGAGAGAGAGAGAGAGAGAAGAGATAGAGAGTAAGTGAGTAGGGTGGGGTGTGGGGGGTGGGAGTGGTAATTTATTTTTCTCTTTCTTTTAATTAAAATAATAATAAATTAAATAAAAGAAATTAAAAAAGAAATATGTAAGGGTATATTGGTGATTTCAAGTGAGGTATGGACCAAAACCACACAAAAATGTCAACCATAAGGACCAAAAACCATACAAAGTATTCGAAATTGGACCATTGATGCACCACCAAACTTTTTTGGAACAAAATCACAGAATTTTGCTAACCACAGGGACCATTTTTGCAATTTTGTCTAAAGTGAAAAAGTAAGAGATCAAAAAGGTAACGTTTGGTATGGATAGTGATAGAATTTTAGTTCCGTCCAAAAGATAGAACTTTGGTACTAGGAATGGACCGGGCAAAAAAGACAAAATTGCAAAAATGTTCTGTGTTGTATGCATTTTTCTGAGATTTAGTCTAAACCCCTGACTTTTTTGACTTCATGGTCTTTTTGAGCTAGTTTAGTTGTGTTTTTGGTCCCTCCGAATAGCGAAATGACCGTAATACCCTTGGGGTATTTATTTTCCATTTTTCTTTCATTTCTTTTTAAATCTAATACTAATTTATTTATTTTAATAACTAAAACAGAAGAGACCCACCTTTTCTCTTTCTTTCTCTCTCTCTCTCTCAAATCATTTCCTCTAAAAATTATCTCTCTGTTCATACATTCCCTCATTTCTCAAAGAAATCTGCAACAATGTGAAGAACGGAAGAAACGAAGTTAGTAACGATTTCACCATCTCTCTCAAATGCATACGATGTTGGTTTATCTACGGATTTCAAATTTTTGAAGAATTTTGGAAGGGTTTTGGGGCTTCGATTCATCTACAGGTACGTCGTTTGTCGAATTTTTGATGCATTTCTTTGGATTGCATTTTTCCTTTTCATAAGATTCGTATATAATTCACATTGTTTTTTAATTAAAGCAACTAAGTAAAGAAGATTATAACAAGTTATCTCTTTTCTTTCCTCATTGCTAACACTTTCTATTTTGGTTTTTGTAGATCTGTTGTTGCTATCAGTTGTTGGTGGGATAGGCATATCATTCACAAACCCAAACCCTTCTTTCCCATTTGGTGTACTCAACTACCTTAACATCTTCTTTGGCATTCTTCCCAATTCTTCTCCCTTCAACCCACCCATACCCTTTTAGAAAATCAGATGTGAAGTTCTCTACATACATATCTTCAAACTCTTCCATCCCCACTATTCCACGGAAAACCTCTCCAAATCGTTTCTCAACTTGTTCAACATCATCGTTTCTCAACTTGTTCAACATCAGATTATCAATCGAGGAAATCGATTTGGATCTTTGGACTTTTGTTTCTAAATCCGGCGGAAAATCTTTCTTTCCACGGAGATTAAGACCATATGTGATGTTCGAGTTGGTTTGCTCGACAGTACGATTTATGACTTCGAATTCGAGGTTGGGGTGTTCCTTATCTTTTTCTAAGGTCTCCATTAGTTGGAAATTGGAGCAATAACAAGGTTTTTGGAATTGGGATCCGTTAGGATTTTGGATGAGGGTTTCAATACGATTACACCTCTAAGAAGTGTTCTTCTACAAATGTTGTCCTTCCAAAAGTTGCTTAGAGCTTTCGGTATTTGCTTTTTGGTTTTCTGTTAGTTTACAAATAGAATCAGATTCTACAAACATCAACAAGTCTTCTATGAAAACCAAAGAGAAACCTGGTGATTTGTTAGAGAGAGAGAGAGAGAAAGAGTGTGGGCCTTATATTTTAATTTAATAAAACATTAAATTAAATAGAAAAAAGATAAAAAAAAATATCAGAAGGGCATATTAGTCATTTCAGTTTAGCGAGGGACCAAAAACCACAATCAAAGTAGCTCAAAAGGACTATCAATCCAAAAAAAATCGAGTTTTGGACAAAACCACAGAAAAAATGCATACCACAATGACCATTTTTGTAGTTTTGTCCACAAAAAATAACAAATTTAATTAAACATTTGGCATGGATAGTGACAGAACTTTCGTCCCGTCCAAAAGATGAAGACATTCAAACAAGTAAAAAAAATGATAAAAAAAAACCTAAAAGCTACTTCTTCTCCTTCCCGGTGAAACTTATTAGTCATTACTGCCACCTGAATCCTATGGTTTTCGAAAAAAATATGGATAAGGTCTAAAAAATTTTCAACTTACATGAAAGGTCCAAAATCAAGATTTTTTTTTTCGTGATTTTGATCCCTGATACACTTGAAATGTCAATTTTACCTTGTTCTTTTTCTATTTTTAATCTATTTTAGTATTTAAATAATTAAAAAGAAAATCCTACCCCACCCCACTCCATTGGTACCCCCTCTTTCTCTTCTCTATCTGATCGTATACTAACATTGGAGAAATACACATACTCACAAAATTAAAAACGTACACATACACACACAGTGAATAAATAGCCTAGATTTCCTAACCCATTTCCCCATCTCTGGTGATTCAAGACCCATCGACGAGTTCTCCTTCCCCGTTCTCCGTCTCTATTAAGTTATGCTTTTTCGGCTATTATGACTGCTCTAGTGGATCTGAGTCATCAACCCTTTTCCTTTCAATCGACTTGCATGCGTATGGTGTGTGTGTGGGTGTGTTTATGTGTTTGAAGAAAAAACCCAAATCGATGAAAACTCAGAGAGAGAGCGAGAGATAGAGAGAGAGTTTGTGTGTGTATGTGAGGCGCCTGAAATACTTAGGTCCCACAAGAAAGGCTGCGACTTCGGTGTTTGGGAGGGGTTTGTGGTGATTTCGAACCAGATTAGATACGTCGATTGAGATGGAGAAGTGGTCGTTGGATCTTCTACATCTTTCTGGATTTACTTTCGCCGGAGAAGGGAGATATGGGTGGTAGTTGTTAACATCTTTGGATTTTTTGCAACAGATACATCAAAAACATGAGATTTTGTTTCATCTGCTACTAGGATTGATTTAATTTTGGGAAAGAAAGAGGGGATATGAAGTACCCCAGCTTCAAAAATCATGTAGATCTTATTTCCAGACAACATTTTCAAGAGACCCTTGACCGGAAAAAATGGTTGCTGGCTTCGGACCAGGAACATGGGAGTTCTGAACTGAATACGTATTTTTTTGCATTAATATTTACAAAATATAAAATATAAAAAATACCAAAAAAAAAATTAAAGAGCAAAACAATCAATTCAAGTGCTCCATGTACTAAAACTATGAAAATCTTTTAATTCTAGGACTAAAATCACGGAAAAATCTTGATTTCGGATCTTCCATACAAATTGAAAGCTTTTTAAACCTTATTTTTAAACATTATAGATGGTTTTTCGAAAATCACATAGACCAATTTTACATTTTCTCTTATAAAAATTGAAAGGATAGATGTTGAAGGAGAGACAAACACGGAGAAAGAATTAGGGGGTGAACGTTTAAATTCATATGAAGGTTATATGAAGGTTAGGACTGTGGGGCCCCTGTTGACTAGTGAGAAGGAAAAAATGCAACAAATTAACATTGGTCTATTTTTCTAATTAAAATAATTGCCCATTAACTAATGAATTTCCTAAAAGATCATGTTTTTATAATTTGCGTTTTATTTTGATTAATTTTGTTGACAACCATTTGTTATAGTACTTTATCATCAATGTTTCTTATTGAATATTCCTTTAATTTTTATTTGGTATTGGGTTTCTTTTAATTAGGTCTTTTACATAAATTAGATAAACATTCAGCAGTCTTATTCTTATAATTAGTTACAAAGATCTATCTATGTTAATTATTTCATATCATTTTGTATCAAGAACAATTTAGTATCCATATTATATATTCATTGAAAACTACAAGCGCATCAACTTATTCTTCAAAAGAGAGACAAAAACGAAGCATCATTAATACACGGTACAACACGCCTAATTATGATGACTTGTGAAAGCAACATGGCAATATTAATACCTGATCATGGTCGTAATCCTACACCTAAATTGATCCCAAAAGGAAAACATTGGTTGATTAATATCATATATAATAAATACAAAGAAACGTATGAAAGTTTCTATTGGTAAATATTATTATATTAAAGAATTAAAGATTAACATGATCATGGTCGTAATCGTACACCTACATTGATCCCAAAAGGAAAATATTGGATGATTAATTTCATATATAACAAATACAAAAGAGACGTATGAAAGTTTCTATTGGTAAATATTATTACATTAATTAAGACCATATTTCATTTACCAACCATGCATGGGGACAGGTTTTCCAAGAGCAAGTAGTGGAACCTTTCTGTGATTAGCCAGACCAAAAGTTTCATTCATATCTACGTCCTTCGGTTTTACACCCTGTGGCAGCGACCAATCAAATCTTGATAAAACAGTAGCCAAACACCTTCTCATTGATGGCCATGGCAAATACCCTTCCAGGGCAACCCCTTCTTCCAGCGCCAAACGTAAGCAACTCGAAATTATGCCTTACGAAATCAATAGACGACTCCAAGAACCTCTCTGGCAGAAACATTTCGGCCTTTTCCCACACTTTAGGGTCCCTCATAATTGCATAAACGTTCACGTATACCCTTGTTCCTTCTGCAATATCATACCCCATTACATTAACATCATGTCGTGCGACTCTTGGTGGTAGAATCGGAAGGGGAGGATGGAGGCGGGTGGTTTCCATGATCACGGCTTTAAGATAAGTCATCTTGTCAAGATCTTCGTCGGTTATCTCTTCTTTTCCACGAAGAATGCTTCTTACCTCATCTTGGACTTTCTTCAAGTTTTCCGGATGTAACAGAAGCTCAGTCATCGCCCATTCAAGTACTGAAGATGATGTATCTGTTCCAGCGACATATGCGTCCAAGAGGAGTGCTTTGATGACATCTGCATCGATGGTGATGCCAATAATATCTTCCTTCTGAACCTTGAGTAGTCCTTCAATGAAGGTTTCCACACCATCTTCAGAAATTTTTTCAGAGTTATTGCGTACCTTTATTATGGTCTCATCGACCACGCCTTGTAGAAACTCGTCAAAATCTACAGCGACTCTATCAACTTTAGCACTGAGACCTCTAAGACGATCAACCACCGCAAGCTGAGGAATAGAGTCCTCAAAATAAAAGCTACCCAACACCTCCGAGAACTCTTGCAAGACCTTCTTGAACTTCCTCCCAATCTCCCCTTCGTTATACGTCCTCCCAAACGTCGCCATGCATGTCACGTCGTTTGTAAGTGAGCTAAACAAGTCGCTCAAGTCTGCTGGCTTGTTAGATAAGAAACACTGGGTTATCTTATCTACGCATTCGGCAATTATCTTTTCTCTCAATCCATTATAAGTTTGAACCTTTTTGTTACTTAAAAGCTGAAGTGTCAAAATGCTCTTTGCTTGTCTCCAATATTCTCCATAAGGAGCGACTGTTATTTCCTTGAGATTGTAGGAGATAGCCCTGAACATTCCTTGTGTTAGGTCTGCTTGCAAATGCAATATCATGAGTCTTCATGATCTCACGAGCTGCTTCGGTTGATGAGACCACCAGGCTTGGGACTGAGCCGATGTGGAGGAGCATGAGCGAGTCACCATAGCGTCTGGCCAGAGATAGAAAGGAGTGGTGGACGCTTGCACCTAGCTGGTGGAGGTTGCCGATGACCGGCAGTTTTGGTGGTGATGGTGGTAGCTTCTTGGTGGATGATGATGATGATGATGATGAACTGTACCATTTAAAGAACACGAAGGAAGCACCAAGAAACAACGTCAAAGTGTATATCGACACCTGCTCTAAGAAACTCTGCATTTTGTGTGAATTCAATGGTATGTGGAAGTTTGTGTTGAAGGTGACCATAATGGCATATTGCATTGTCTACTTATAATGATCAGAGTTTTAAGCAAACCGCCCACCATCAATGACCAGTAAACAGTAGACGGAAAGAAATGAAGATGATAGTATTTGAATGAGAATCTATCAGAAAATTTAAGAAAAGAGTTGTTGGATAATCTAAGGAATTGACTTCTAGTGGCATGTTGAGAGAGAACTGACTGGCTGGCTGATGGATGTTTGTGTTAAAGTGACTATTTCCGTCGTCTAGTTAAAATAAAAGCCTTTTATAAATTGAACGCCAACAATGACCAGCGGTACAGCCACTAGACCCACTAGACTAAAATAAACATAACAATAAAGGACAATAACAGTTATCATATATTCTTATAACTGAGTTGATTTAAATTTGACAAAACTTCTTGTACATGTGGTTTTTCAAAATATATGATATAGTCTCTAAATTAAAAAAATATATATATAAAAAATTGTGTGATTTTTAATTTTTATCATGGTTTGGTCTATCATTCACATAAGAATATTTGTATAACTTTTTTAATTTCTTTTATATTTTTCTTTAACTAAAACCATTAAAAATATAATAAAAAAAGAGATAATTAACCCTACCACACCCCATCCTACCCCACCCCTTACATGTCCATCTTCAAAAGACCATTACCACATGTCAATATCTCCACCACCGGACCACCATCGTCACCGAAGCACCTTCGGAAATTAGAACCACCATTGGAGATTACAAAAACCACCGGAAACCATATCCACCATCATAACTTTAATCAACTAGAAATTCTAAACAATTTATCATTATAATATGTTTGTGTAGATTTCTGGCAAAAAATGAATTTTATGGTCACCTTCTTCGATTAATCACATACACAAACATCAAGAAATCAATGTATCATTTACGAAATGAAAAGGTATTCTTGAGAGAAATTAAGAAATCCAGATCAGATGAGCACACACGAGCACACACACACACACTTCCAGATCATATGAACCCAAAGATAGTGCTTATCCATTCACCCCTTTCGTTCACAAGCCTACCTATTCGATTTTGATTTTGTTCTAGAAGAGATGAAAAAGAATAAAGAGTGTTCAGATCCACCAAGAACAACTTGGCTTAAACATGTTCTTCAAATAAACACACATATGTTTTGTTTTTCATAATCGAATTCACACGCACATACATCCATACATGTATGTGTTTTCAAATTTGAATTCACACACACATACACACGTACAAATGGATTTTTTAGATTCGATTTGACACACGCACACACCTATATTTTCATTTGAAGAGAGAGAGAGAGAGAGAGAGAGAGAGAGAGAGAGAGAGAAAAGAGCTTAAGAACAAACATATTTGATTTCCTATTTGATTTTGGGATTTCTTCTTGAGAGGTCAAAGTAATAAACCCTAACCCCACAAATTAGCAACATATATTTGCAACTATCATCGATTTTGATCGGAAGCAAAACAATTCTGACTTGGTGGTTGTTTTGATGTCAAGTTGTGTAACGTCGAGTTCCTCGTATGTATTTAACTTATAGATTATTCATTTTTATAGAGCAACTCGACAAGCTGGAGGCCCCAAACTCGTCGAGTAGAGATGTTTTGGACCGCACATTTTGGTGACCAACTCGACGAGTTGGGAGGTCTCAAATCGACGAGTTGGATGGGTGAAATGAAACCCTAACTCTGGGGTTTTGCACCCTATTTAAACACCTTAAACCCTTCATGTTGGCTTCATTTCCATCCTCCAAGTCCCTAACCTTAAATCTCGAAACCCTAAAGCTACTTTGAGTGATTGTGAGCCATTTTGGGGTGTTTTTGGTGTGTGTTGAAGCCTTTGGAAGAAGGAAAAGCTTGAAGACACAAAAAGGAGCTTATAGATCCAAAATCCTTGCCTTATCCACGACATTTTGCTGGTATAAAGCTCGAACCTTGTCGTGTGGTCATTTAGATCACCATTTTAGAGTTCTTTGCTTGGTTTTGGTCCACATGATATGATTCTTGGGATTTGGATGTCCCACCTGGAGAATACTTCAGATCTAGGGTCTTGAGGGGTTTTTATGGCATAAAGGTGCCAACTTTATGGCCATGGAAGTCACATGCAACCTTTAGACCATCATTTTGGCCTTTTGGAGCTTCTAAGGGCCATGCATGTAGAAAAATTTGGGATTTTACGTGATCTTTTAGTCCCTAGAGTCCAGATCTATGACCTCATGGTCTTCTTTTTAGATTAAAACTTTGGGCCTTTTGGGTTAGGGTTTTGAGCTTAGGAAGGATATTAGTGGGTAAAGTTGGAAACTTTACCCTTTAGAAGTATCTGAGTATAGGGTTTAGATTTGAAGAATAATGGCTTACTGAGTTAAGAAGGGGTTAACAGACTAAGGAACTTGACGAGTTGATTTGAAATGTACCGATTCTGTTGAAAAGGAAGAACCCGACGAGTTGGAGGAAAACTCGATGAGTTGGATCGCGATATCATGATTCTGTGATTCATGGAAACTCGGCGAGTTGAAGGGCAACTCGACGAGTTAAGTCAACTCGGAGCGTTGACTTTGAATTTGACTTTGACTTTGACCAAAGTTGACCCTAAAGTGGTTATGAGTATGAAAGGGTACTTAAGGAAATCTTTTATGTTTAGGGGATTGAGTTGGATTGATATTTAGAGCCGAGGACTATTCAGCTGCTTTCCAGTATCCGAGGTGAGTTACCTTCCCGGTATGAGTGGGTCGAAGGCAACAATACCGGCCCATTAGTAGTTGTTTATAGTAGAGATAATTGTCTCTGTGATAATTGTCTGGTATGCCACTATCTGTAGAGATTTATGTGCTTATATGCTATGTTATTATGTTGTAGTAGTAGGAGGAGTGTAACAGACCCCGTAGCCGGTTGCTATAAACCCGGAGGGTAGATCGGGCACCCAGATATGCCTGATAGTATGTTAAGATATGTTGTTATGTGGTAGTGGTAGGGGTGAGATAGACCCCGTAACCGGTTGAAATAAACTGGAGGGTAGGTTGGGCCCCCAGATATGCCCGACAGGGTAGGTCGAGCACCCATATATGCTTGGCATGGGTAGGTCGGGCACCCAGGTATGCCTGACATAGGTAGGTTGAGCACCAAGGTATGCTCGGCAGGGTAGGTCGGGCACCCAGATATGCCTGACAGGATAGGTCAGGCAGCCAGATATGCCTGGCAGTATGTGATTATGTGGTATGATTGGGGAACTCACTAAGCTTCGTGCTTACAGTTTTTAGTTTTGGTTTCAGGTACTTCTTATTCGAAAGGAAAGGAGTCGGCATGATCGCAACGCATCACACTATGTTTTTCCGCACATGAGATCTTTAGGAGTTGTACTCTGATATTATTTTTCTATGACATGTTTTGGTTATTTGACATATTGGTTTTGATTATGATATGGGTTGGCACTGTGGATGTTTTCAGACTTCTGTTTTTATAATTACTTAATTACAAATGAAATTTTTGGTCATGAATTTTGGAATTTTACAAGTTGGTATCAGAGCCTTGGTTTGAGGGATTCAGACACACTTTCTGTTGGGTTTTGAGCATAACATCATTCCTATGGTGTACATGCAACCCTAATTTCTTTGGATCTAGGTTTTTCTAATTTGAACATACAACTATGAATGCCAAAGCAATAACCCTATAACTAGCGTACATATATCGAAAATTACATATGATTAGGGTTAGAATCTTTACCTCTAATGTTATGTAGCAATAACAATCTTAATCCTTCTTGATCTTGACATCTGAAAGCCTAGTGCCCCAAGTTTTGCACCTCTAATGGAGTCACAAACACTCTTGCAAAGGAAGACTTGGGAGAGATGATAAAATCAGCCCTCTAGGGTTTCTTAAAAGCATAGATCCGATTTTCACAAGGCAAGGGGTCTATTTATACTTGTGGCTGCTAGGGTTTTAGGTGGAAACCCTAATATGACTGCTTAAACCTTAAGCAACCCATGGAACCCTTCTAGAAGTTCCCATTGGACGAAATATTTATGGGCTACCCATAGATTTCGTCCATCCCTTCTATTAGAAGTCCACGGCCCAATCTTGCAACTAACAGTTAATTGCAATATCAGTCCCTTTATTTAATCAGTTTCTTGATCACCAAATTAATTCCAAATTAATTTCTGATCAATAATAATTAAATAATATGATTTCCAAATAACATATTAATCTTGTAATATATTAATAAAACCATTTTGAGTACGAATTCATTATTCACATAATAAATTCTACTCTCTCTCCTCTGTCATCCTATCAAGTTGCATGAGTCAAGACAACCCAAAAAGACCATGCTCATAATCAAATCAAACACATACCAAAAATAGTTATGGGCTTACACACCTAATCCAACAGTCTCCCACTTGGATAAGTCTAATACCTATTATTGCGTACGACTTCAGAATCTGATTAGCAATCGTAGCTTTCAAAAGCCGCTGTCGAACTCTGATCTTATCAACAACGCATCCTTTAGATAAGGGATCATATATTCCTCCATTCTACAAGATATCGTATGGACATGAGACATGAATTTTAATCATTCTCTCTGTCCATGTGTTGTTTCCCGATTTCCGATTTATGATGACTGACTAATTGAACGAATCAAATCAGTCCCGACTTGGCCAAGCGCTTAGGGTGTCATCACTAAATCATCGAGGGGCCCACATATATCGCTTTTATCCTCTTATGGTAAAAGGAACGGATAAACGTCGACTCGTATGCTTTTACTATTTACTCATCAAATCACACACAACAATACGTTTTATAACATCAAGTTACTGATGCGTTTATGTATTATCAATGTGCAACCAACTCGCAAACAACAACTCATATCTCCTCGTTTCAAGAATATAAGATATTATCGTCTTACAATCACTCGTGATAAAATCCATGAAGTGATTCACGTGAGCGTGAGTTTAATCCA